ATATATCGATATATCCTCCATAATGATCGGAGCTGGGTCAGCACTCAACTCAGCTAATTAAGCGAGGTCCACCCAGAGGCAGGTTACAGGGTGGTGCGAGATAACCACGGCGAGGAGGTGTGAAAGGTCAATCCTGACTAAAGGTGCACACCCTCGCTTCGACGTTGGAGTCACTAGTCGCCAGCTGTCGCCGTTGAGTCGATACCCTTCGCACCCCTATAGTTGGTTTGATTTGTTAATAAATTCTTTTTCTTTGGTGTGTCCTGTCGTGTAGCAAGAGGGGTCCGTAGGTTGCTAACACTTGGGAAGACCATATCCTTACAAGAGAAACAAGCTTACGAATATCACATTCCATAGACGGTGAAGGTTGGTCATGTGGAGCCCGTGGCGGGTCATGGAAAGAAGTGCGCTCTGGAGAGGCCACGTATCAGGCGTCTCACTGAAAGAATCAGGTTAGAAGCGCTTGATTTTGGAAAAGTAGAGACAAAAAATCCATAGAATATGATGCAGTAGAATTTTGAGATGTCTGTGGAAGAGTGGACTCGCCGCTAAACTTACACGGGAAAAAACGGCGGACGAGTTTCCGGACGAGTTTTCCGCGCCAATACTGTTTGAATCCTAGGTGGACCGTGCATTTCGTTGTGATGAGGCGTACTGTCCTCTCAATATCAATCGATCGGGGATCATACTTCAGAGTTTGTGCACAGAATGAGTGGGAGACCCCAGCTGGAAGGAAAAGTCAAGTCCGCCGTAGCAATCGCATAAATCCATGAGCCGACCAAGAAATTCCCCCTGTCGAACACATTTTCCATGTCCTCTTCAAGAACAGAAGACTGAAGATTTCGTGTATGTCAACACATTACGAAATTCCACAATACCAAGTTAGAGTTGGCATCTAAAGGTAATCGGTAGTGACTTCTACGACTTACTACGACTATTACTTAAACTAAGAAGTCGCTCTCGAGTACATAATCAAGACATGGACAGCTCGTATCGTGATTCATTACTGCAAAACTGCGATCTCTTCCAAGCAACACTAATGGTAAGCATTTTAAGACGCTACCGCAAGCGACGGGGCATTGGCAGTGCACTCAACCGCATTAAACATCTTCTTGTTGAACACAGG